AGCCCACTGAACTGATTTGCAAACTTCCTGGACACAGTCTGGTGCGAGGACTTGCTCAGGACTTCAAACAGATCTGCGCTCCCAGAGTGCAGCTATCGGTGCTTTGCAGGAAGCAAGTGAGGCCTGTCTGGTTGACTTTTGAAGACACCAGCCTGTCTACCCACGCTAAATCTGTGACAATTACGCCAAAAGACAACCAGCTATCATGCCACATATACGAAGAACATGCTTAAGAATGCACTATGAGAAACATTTCATTATTCAAAAAAAAAGTCTCCCTTTCTGTTATTGGTGGTCCTGAACATTAGGTTTTTTTCCCCCAGGGGGTCAAAAGGTACCCAAGTATGAGACTACAAATGGAAAATAGGGAACAGAAATCAGGCATTAGCAGTTTTTCCATTTTCATTTGTGTATGAATTTTTAAAATATAAATGCAGGGACATAAAGCATTTGTGCAATGTCATATAAGTACCTTGTGCTAACCGACTATGCATTTATGCAAGTCAATATATTTCAGTGAACAAGTTTCAGCAGTTTGACTTTATAACAACTATAAATAACCCCCTTAAATTTTTCTAGACAACACCAGCATTTGGATTTTTTTAAAACAAGTAAATTTCTTATTGATGGCAACTAAAGAAAAACCTGTTTTTTAATCTTGGGATTAGAAAGAGCTTCCCAAATAAGACACAAAAAGCAAAAGACAAATAATGACACATCAATTACATCAAAACTTAAAATCTTTGTAAAACAAACAAGAAAAAACATTTTTACCGCATGTAATAAACAAAGGATATATGTCCAAAGTTATTGATAACTCTTACAAATAAAAAAGCAAACAAAATAATAGAAAGGTGGACAAATATGTGATTAATAAACATTCAAAGCTGCTCAACTTCACTAGAAAATGAGAATGTGTAAATTAAAATTGGATACTATTTCATTATCAGATTAACAAAAATTTAAGGGATAGATACTATCAAGTATTGGCAATAAAATGTAAAGCAGGAAATCTCATATCTCTTAGAGGAAACAAAATTGGCACATTTTCTAGGTGAGCAACCTGGCAGTTAATGTCCCTCCCTCAAGTGCACACTGCCCTTACAGGGACCCATCCTAGAGAAGCGCTCACACACACACACCCAAAGGAACACGGATATGCTGAGTATCAGCATGGATCTGTTATGTTAAATTATCCCAAATACTTCATAAGAAATACTGTGAGCAGATTTTTTTAAAAAAGGAAAAAAGTGGTTCTAAATGAGTAGTTCTCAACCTGAGGCACACTTCAGAATCACCTGGAGCTTTTAAAAATTAGAATTCTGGGGCCTCACCTCCAGAGATTCTGACTTAATTGGTCTGGGTGGAAGAAAGACACTGCTAATTTTTAAAAGCTCCCAGATGGTACTAATAGGAATTCAGGACTGAAAACTACTGATCTACCTGTACTAACTTGGAAAGCCTCCAAGACATTGTGTTAAAAAAAAAAAAAAAGTAGGGCCACATAAACAGTGTGGTAGTATTTATGATTTTAAAAAATATTTATATATGTAAAATATACATCATTACATGTGTATGCACAAACGTACGCACATACACCCATCCACCCTAATGTACATAAAATAGCCCAGAAGAATCTACACTCAGCTGATGACAATGTTTATTTCTTAGAAAATGGGTGGTGAAATGTGCTGTTACAGATCTATGGGAACACTGGGTTCACTAGCATTAAGACTTCAAGAATGTGGACTTCTGACAAGATGGAGGACTAGGTGGACGCACCGTACCTCCGCGCACAACCAAGATTAGAACAACAATTTAGAGCCAGAATAAGACCCAGAACTGATAGAGGATTTATCTGAATGGAAGTCGGACAGACAAGAAGTTGAAGCAGACCCATACATCCACACTGGTGGGAGGGGCTGAGAGGACGAGCCAGGTGGGCGTGGGTGGGTGGCGCTCGGAGGTTGGGGAAAACTTGGCACAAACTCGGCTCGAGAGCCATCCGGGGCGCGCAAGAACGCAGCAGTGGACCCTGAGTACGCAAGCTGCGGCTGGCAGACCCAGTGAGGCGGCGATTGTGGACCAGGGCAAAGCTCACAGCCCAGGATCCCAGAGAAGGGACTGAGATCCCAGGAGAACGGAAGTACCGCCATTGTTCCCCCCAGCCCCGGCCCCGGCCCCGGCCCCGGCCCCGGCCCCGGCCCCGGCCCCGGCCCCGGCCCCAGCCCCCGCCCCCGCCCCCACATATAACGTCACAACCTAGTGACTGGGGTGCCCAGCCCCGGTGAACACCTAAGGCTCCGCCCCTCACCGTAAGAAGAGCGACCAGACCGAAAAAAGAAAAAAAAGGAGAGACATGTTTCCAACAGAAGAACAGATCAGTCCCCCAGGGCTCATCCTTTTGAGCGACCAAGAAATAGCCAATCTATCAGATGCACAGTTCAAAACACTGGTGATCAGAAAGCTCATGGAATTGGTTGATTTTAGGCACAAATTAGATGAAAAGATTCAGGTTACCAAAAAGAGATGAAGGAAGATACACGGAGGAGAGCCAATAGTGAAGGGAAGAAAACTGGGTCTCAAAACAATACAGTGGACCAGAAGAAAGATAGAATCAACCAAGCAGGAAAGCATGAAGAAATAAGAATTCAAAAAAATGAGGAGAAGCTTAAGAGCATCCAGGACATCTTTAAACGTTCCAACATCCGAATTATAGGGGTACCAGAAGGGGAAGGGGAAAAGCAACAGATTGAGCACATATTTGAACAAATAATAAAGGAGAACTTCCCCAATCAGGCAAAGGAAATAGTCTTCCAAGAAATCCAGGAAGCTCAGAGAGCCCCAAAGAAGTTGGACCCAAGAAGAAACACACCGAGGCACATCTTAATTACATTAGCCAAGGTAAAAACGAAGGAGAGAATCCTAGAAGCAGCAAGAGATAAGGGGACAGTAACCTACAAAGGAGTTCCCATCAGACTGTCAGCTGATTTCTCAAAAGAGACCTTACAGGCAAGAAGGGGCTGGAAAGAAATATTCCAAGTCATGAAAGACAAGGACCTACATCCCAGATTGCTCTATCCAACAAAGCTCTCATTTAGAATGGAAGGGCAGATAAAGTGCTTCTCAGATAAGGTCAAGTTAAAGGAGTTCATCATCACCAAGCCCTTATTTTATGAAATGCTAAAGGGAATTATCTAAGAAAAGAAGATAAAGAAAAAACATGTATAGTAAAAGGACACAGCAAACTCACAATTATTAACAACCACACCTAAAGCAAAACCAAAAGAAACTAAGCAAACAACTAGAACAGGAACAGAACCACAGAAATGGAGGTCACATGGAGGGTTAGCAACAGGGGGATGGGAGGAGGAGAGAGGGGGGAAAGGTACGGAGAATAAGTAGCATAGAATGTAGGTTGAAAATAGATAGGAGGAGGGCAAGAATAGTACGGGAAATGTAGAAGCTAAAGAACTCTTAAGTATGACACATGGACATGAACTAAGGGGGGGAATGTGGGTGGGAGAGGATGTACAGGGTGGAGGGGAGTGAAGGGGGGAAATGGGACAACTGTAATAGCATAATCAATAAAATATATTAAAAAAATAAAAAGACTTCAAGAATGTATTTATCTATTATTTCTGTTATCAAAAACAAAGGATGAATTTTTTTAACATAAGCTTTCAAAATGTTACTGCATTTAGTCTAACATTAAATAGGAAAGGCTAACTAAATCATGGAATAATTTGAATATCTTGATTTAATGAGCCAAAATTATATTTACAGATGTTCCAATGCCATGCTTAAATGTTTTTGGAAATCAACTAAATGGATTAAGTTTTAAGATTCTCAAAATCAAAGCTTACGTAACGTAAATATTAAAAAGCACTCTTGCTCAGCGCTCTGCCCAGCTGCAGGGCCGTTGGAGCAGGGCCCTCAGGCTCACCCACCCTTCACCAGCCTGCCTCAGGCCCTGCCACCTCGTCACAGTGCCTGCTTTCACTAGAATTTTCAAATAAAACAACTCAATGATTTAAGAAAAAAAGACAGATTCATTTTTATAAATGAGGGAAAAAAGGAAAGAAACTGGAGAAAAAGAACAGCAAAGGACCACAGGCTCACGGTGATGGGGCAAATGCCATTCAGTTCTCCGGATTCCCAAGTTAGAGGGCAGCAGACAGCCACTGCCTCCCACAGATCCATTCACCTCTCCTCTTCACTAACAGAATCTCATTTTCATGGGAGACCACCCTGTGTCCAGTTAAGGAAAAGCACATTTCCCAGCCTCCACTGCAGACAGGTGGCCAGGTAATACAGTCCTGCCACTAACTGACATGAGGAAAGAAAGTCTTAAAAAGGGACAGGCTTGACCGGCTTGTCCCTTTATTCTTATGCTTTTGTCTCCTCCTTGCCCTTCCTGTCTGCCCAGAACACAGACGTCACAGCTGTCTCTGAAGCACCCATCTTGTGAGCACAAGAGGAAGGATAACCCCTAAGGCAGGAGCCTGAGTCCCTACTGGTACTGTGGTGCTGTGGCACCAGCCCTGGACTGCCCTGCCTCTGGACTTCTAGTTACATGAAAGAAAACAATAAAGCTTCTGTTTGGGGGGACTCTCCATTAAGTGCAGCCAAATTTAAACCTTAATTTATACAGAGGGAAAATTCTAGGCAGAGCCAATGGATTCCAGATCAGCATAAGGAATACTACAGAGCAGGGTGTGCAAACTGTGGCTGGCAGCAGCCAAACCCTGCCACGACAATCCCTTCTCGTATTGTCAATGGCTGCTTTTGTGTGACGACAGAGACATAGAGACCATCTGGCCTGCCAGGCTGGAAATATTTATTGTACTACCTGGCCTTTTATAGAAAATGCTTGCTGACTCCTTCTATAGAGGGTCTACTCATAATTGTAGCAGCAAGAGGTGAGAGTATTTTGTGAAGACCCCCAGAACCTCCTCTCACCCACCCATCCCCTGCCAACAGTCAAAAAAGTGTCTCACCAGCTGGGGCAAAGAGTCTCGGTACTTGCTGTTTAACTGGTTCACAAAGCATCGGGTGATCCAGTAACAGTCGACACTATCTTCCACCATCTCTTCCATGGCCTTAGCAATGGCAAGAAATACTTCATCTTCTGGCTCCTGAAAGATTAACAATAAATCTCAAGAGAGAGGCAGCAGAAGTGAGAAACACATATTTCTTTCATAATAATGAAACCTTATCCCCTAAATTTTGAAGAGGCTAATATATCAAAGTGGAACCAAAAGCACACCGTCCATCACTAGAGAGAAGACCAAAGGGAGGTAAGAATGACTAACCACAGAAACCTATCCAAAGGAGTGCTGTTTACGAACACTCAGGTTTCAGGATGACCACTCGAAGATTTTCCAACTTCTAACCTTAAGGCCATCCATAAAAGAATCAACATATATCAGAGGCAAGGTGCTGCTTCTCTCCACCCAAAAATATTCTCTGTATTAGAGGAGAATTTCTTTAAAAACCATGTGACACACAACACAATTAATAACTGGAGACATTTGTTAATATGGTAATTTCCAAAAATTAAATGACTCCAAAAGAACTAAAAAAGCATTTTCTTTATTTCAAAGCATTCAAAAAACCTTTAGAATTTTATCTGTAAGCACCTAAAAAGTTAAAATGTCCCTAGAATCAGAATATCAGGAATCAGAAGAATGGCATTTCTCAAACCCTGTGTCAATACTCAGAACATTAAAGTAAACCCTCAAGTAAATTTCAACAAAGAAATCTGCTTGAAAATCTATTTTGTTTCCAAACACTGTATCTTACACAAAAATGTACTTTCATCTAGGATGTATTAGCTGAGGGATTTTAATGTCAAAAAAGAAACTAAAAAGTATCTTTCTACTCCCCTTAAACATCCCAAGTTAAATCAAAATTCCTATTCTAATAAATGTGTTTCATTTTAGGCCTTTCAATTTACTAATAGTCTATAAAATGTCAAGTAATAAAATTGTAGAAAATACATTTTTCTAAACATTAACTAACTTGTCAGAGGAGAAGAGCAAAGACAGAAGAAAAGGCGGGGAAGCTCCTTCCCTGGGCTCCCATCGAGTACTGAGCACTGGGCTGGGTGCTCCTGAACATGGTGTCTCTCTGCTGCGCCCAGCCACCGTGGGTGCCCAGGGAAGGGGACCAATGTCCTTGACTGACCACGTTCCTGGTCATGTGCCAGGCACTCTGACATATGCTTATTAATGATATGAAAAGAGAGGCTGAGTGGGGCTTGGTTCATCAGGGACACAGGCGTGGCAGGGCCCACCACACACACTTTGATAGCACCTCCACCCAGGCCACAATGGAGGTGTCTGGGCTTGAAGAATGGACAAGCTGAGCAAGGATGAGGTGACAACTACAACCTATCATTCTTGAACTAACAGATAATCTAACCTAATTTAATATATAATTTAAGAACTTGTGCAGTACTACCAACTTCAGCTTGCCAAAGATAAGCAAAATTTAAAGAAGCCTGTTAAAAGTTTCAATTCCAAAAGTTTCAAAAGTTTCAGGGCCATTCTCTCTTGATAAGCTTAATAAAAGTGGGTGACCTCTGGGCATCCATGGGAAACACATCACTAACTTCAAAAAGAAAGAACAATTCAAAGCTCAAGCTGCTATACTGGCAGGCTGTAATATGCAATAAAAGAATAAAATAGATTTTATAGATAGCACAGCTTTCATGCAAATCCCTATTTTGAACAATTCACTCTGCTTTAGCCCCGCCCCCACTGTTAGGGGCCTAGAATAAATTTCAAATTGCATTACATTAGCCAAAACTCAAGAGCTATAATCATTCCTTTGCCTGAACTCTTCCTCTTCCCTATCTTGTCCTAACCAGAGTAAGGAGTTTACGGAAGATGAAGTTTAAAAAGCAGGCTGGGGCCTGTGATGCTGAGGCCAAGGAGGCAGCCAGGGACGACAAGGCCTATGGGGCCTGCAGGCCAGAGCCAAGAGGTGGCCAGCAGTGTTGGTGACAGAGGAACAAGCAAAGAAGTAAATATACTGAGGGTACTGAGAGCCTCTTCACATTTGCAACTGTCAGAGAAGGAGGTTATAACACAAAAAGGGTAAAGGCTAGTTAGAATGAATATGATACTGCATTGTATTTGGAATATTAGGGTGAACTCAGGGTTTTCAAAATATTGAGATAAATAGATATACAAACATACATAGGTAAGTGTAAATATGTATGTGAATGTGTGTGTGCATACAAGTATTTCCTAGCTCCTTCCACTGAGAGGGCACAGAAACAATGATACACCAGGAACAATGAGCATATCTAGCACCCTAGTCTTGGTTTCTAAACACCAAACTCCATGGGTGGAGAGGTGAGGCTGATTCCAGGCCCGAGGCAAGGAAAGTACAAGATGAACCTGGAATATCTTTTTGTGCCAGAAAGGAAGGAACTGCTCAAAATGATGGGAACTTATCAAAAAGACATAGAAGTCAGCTTGATGAACTTCCACTGGCCAAATCTGAGACCATCTGAATACCAAAATAAAGAACAGTTGTAATGGATTATCTGCCACTGAATAAAAGGAATCCATAAATTCATACTGATACAAGTAAATTAATGAGGGAAAAGAGAAAACCTTCCATATAAATGAATGTAAACTAATAAATGCGAAAGGAATAAAAGAGTTAGAAAATCACTATTTGGCAATCAGCATAGTAAGAACTGTTCCAGGCAAGAATCTTTAGTGGATGGATATTTACAGTCTAAAACTTTCTCCCCAGATGTTACTTATTAAATACAAGAAGAAAAAGTTACTGTACATTGAAGAAACCTGGCAGACATCACCTTAACCAAGTGATCAAAGTGAGCAGCAACAGTAGTAAGTATCATAATTCTTTGGTATTTCTGCCAATAATGCATAACCAGACTTTAATGACGAGGAAACATCAAACAAACCCAAACTGAGAAACACTCTACTGCCCAGTACTCCTAAAAAATATCAGGTTATGGAAGTTTGTACAAAGACAAACTGAAGAACTGTCCCAGACTAAAGGAGACTAAGAAAGAAGACCTGGAAATAAATGTAAAGTGTGATCCTTGTAAAGAATAAGTATAAAGGTTGGATCCTGGACCAGAAAAAGGACATCAGTGGGACAATGAGCAAAATGTCGATAATGTCCACAGAGTAGTTCATAGTATTGTATCAATGCTGATGTTCTGGTTTTGATCATTATACTACGGTATGTGAGATGTAACATCTGAGGAGGCTAGATGAAGGTATATGGGAACACTAAACTCACTATACTATTTTTGCAACTTTTTTCTATGAAGTGATTTCTAAAAATTTGAAATCAACAAATGGTAAAACTAGTGGGTGAAAGTTTGGTTAAGTTCTGAACTAAAACTTTACTGTTTGTTTTGATAAAGGGCATTATTAGAACATTTGGTCAAATGTGAATGGAGTCTGAAGATCAGATGTTAATATTGTATCAATGTCAACTTCTTGGTTTCCTGACTGTACTATGGTTACCTGGGGGAGTGCTCTTATCTTTAGGAAATATATACTGAAAGAATATGAAGTCATGGGATATTATGTTTGCATCTTAGTCTCAAATGTTTCAGAAAAAATATGCATCTAGTCTACGGCCATAGCACCCTGAACACACCTGATCTTGTCTGAAAAAATATTCATAAACATTTAAGAAAAATGACGAAGCAAATCGTTAAAAATGTAGACAACTGGGGAACCTGGGTAAAGGATATAGGGAATTCTTAATAGTATTCTTGTAACTGTTCCACAAGTTTGAAACTACTTCAAAATAAAATGTAGCATTTTTTAAAAAAACAGGCAGATGGGGTCAGAATATATAGGGCCATGAATGTCAGGGAAAGATGTTGTGGACTTCTGGCCAAGATGGAGGCACAGGTAGACACACTGTGCCTCCTCACACAACCAAGATAGGAACAACAGCAATTTAGAAACAAAATAACCACTAGAACTGACACAAAATTGAACTGTATGGAAGTCAGACAATCATGAAGTTAAAATAGACATGTTCATCCAGACCGGTAGGAAGTGTGGAGTTGGGCAGCCGGACTCAGGTCACAGTGCGAAGAGCAGAGAGCGTTGGGACTGGGCGCGTAAGGCATCCGGGGTGCTCAAGACCACAGCAGGTGGATCCTGAGCGCGCAAGCGGCAGCTGGCAGACCCCGGCCGAGAGGTGGCAAACTGCAAACCCAGCCAGGTGGGAATTGTGAAGCAAGTCACTGCTCGCAACCCAGGATCACAGCGCTGGGAAATAGAGCCTCGGGACACTGATTGAAAACACCTGACAGGCATAAGGCTCAGGGAGAAATGCCCAGCCTCACAAGAGAGGTCCTTGGACAGTCTCACAGGGTGCACAGGCCCACCCACATGGGAACTGGCACCAGAGGGGTCCAGTTTGCTTGAGGGAAGTGGCGGAAGAGACTGAGGTCTGACGGAGAGCGGAACAAGCGCCACTGTTTCCTCTCGGACTCCGCCCCCACATACAATGTCACAACCCAGCAAATGGGTTGCCCTGCCCTGGTGAACACCTACGGCTCCGCCCCTCATACGTAACAGGCACGACCAGACCAAAGGGGGGGTGATGGCTCAAACAGAATTTAAAGTCCCTTAATCATTACTTTTAAGCAACCAAGAGATAGCCAACCTATCAGATGCACAGTTCAAAGCACTGGTGATCAAGATGCTCACAGAATTGGTTGATTTTGGTCCCAAATTAGATGAACAAATGCAGGCTATGATAAGAGAAATGAAGGAAAATGCACAGGGAACCAATACTGATGGGAAGGAAACTGGGACTCAAAACAATAGGGTGGATCAGAAGGAAAAAACAACCAAACAGAAAAGAAGGGAGAAATAAGAATTCAAAAAACTGAGAAGCTTAGGTACCTCCAGGACGTCTTTAAACGTTCCAACATCAGAATTATAAAGGTACCAGAAGGAGAAGAGGAAGAGCAACAAGTGGAAAACTTATTTGAACAAATAATGAAGGAGAACTTCCCCATTCTGGCAAAGGAAATAGACTTCCAGGAAGTCCAGGAAACTCAGAGAGTCCCAAAGAAGTTGGACCCAAGGAGGAACACACCAAGGCACATCACAATTGCATTAGCCAAGATTAAAATGAAGGAGAGAATCCTAGAAGCAGCAAGAGAAAAGGAGACAGTCAGCTACAAAGGAGTTCCCATCAGACTGTCAGCTGATTTCTCAAAAGAGACCTTACAGGCAAGAAGAGGCTGGAAAGAAGTATTCCAAGTCATGAAAGGCAAGGACCTACATCCAAGATTACTCTATCCAGCAAAGCTTTCATTTAGAATGGAAGAGCAGATAAAGTGCTTCTCAGATAAGGTCAAGTTAAAGGATCATCATCACCAAGCCCTTACTTTATGAAATGTTAAAGGGACTTATCTTAGAAAAAGAAGATAAAAAACATGTATAGTAAAATGACAGCAAGCTCACAATTATTAACAACCACACCTAAAACAAAAACAAAAAGAAACTAAGCAAACAACTAGAACAGGAGCAGAACCACAGAAATGGAGAACACATGGAGGGTTAGCAACAGGGGAGTGGGAAGAGGAGAGAGGGGGAAAAGGTACGGAGAATAAGTAGCATAGATGGTAGGTAGAAAGCAGACAGGGGGAAGGCAAAAATAGTATGGGAAATGTAGAAGCTAAAGAACTTATGACACATGGACATGAACTAAAGGGGGGGAATGTGGGTGGGAGAGGGTGTGCAGGGTGGAGGGGAATGAAGGGGGGAAATGGGACAACTGTAATAGCATAATCAATAAAATATATATATAAAAAAAGAAAGATGTTGCAGTTACTCTATAGACAAAGGCGAGCGCCATTCAAAGTTTCGTAGGCAAAACATGATGCAATCAAAGGCTAGCAAGACGGAACAGTCTAGAGCTGAGCTTGGTGTGGAAAAAAGTACCACTAACCAGTGGGAAGGAGGGGCTTCGTGGCAACTTTCCAGACTCCAGCTGATACATGCGGAGATAGACTTCAACCTGAGGTGTGGCATCACTGACAAAGCGAACGACTTTCAGGGCATGAAGGACATCCGAGTACTGCCCCCTGCGATACATCATCACCTGGGCATGGGATTCATGGTGTGGAGGCAGGATCCCTACACAGAAACCCAGAAAAAAAAGGGCAAAATACTGACGCACTAATCCAAATCATCCTCTGTTAAAGAGAATCCTGGGAGAAGCTCTCCATCACAATTAAACTAGAACTCACAAATATTTCATTCTCTTTTAGAAATTTCACTATAAAAGAATTATAAATTTTAAACAGCATCAATATTTGAATGGCAACTGTACCCCTGACATAAAAGATAAATAAAACTACATCATGCCCTGGCTGGCGTAGCTCAGTGGACTGAGCGCGGGCTGCGAACCAAAGTGTCGCAGGTTCGATTCCCAGTCAAGGTACATGCCTGGGTTGCAGGCCATGACCCCCAGCAACCACACATTGATGTTTCTCTCTCTCTTTCTCCCTCCCTTCCCACTCTAAAAATAAATAAATAAATAAATAAAACAAGATCATAAGAATTTTTTAAAAATAAATAAAACTGCATCATAAAGTTCTTGACTAGGTATGCCATCTAAATTCAAAATAATAACCATATCAATTACGGTTGCCAACCTGAGCCACCGCTAGCTCCTAGGGTCTATGTCCAGCTTTTGCACTTGGCCCACACTATGGATTGAACTGTGTCCCCTCCAAATTCGTATGTTAAAGTCCTAACCCCCCATGTGACTATACTTGGAGGTAGGGCCTATAAGAAGGTAAAGGTAAATGACATTACTGGGTGGCAGGGTGGGAGGAGTGGGGGGGCTAATCCAATAAGGCTGGTGCCCTTATAAGACAAAGAAGAGACACCAGAGCTCACTCTGCCATGTGAGGACACGACAGGTGGCCATCTGAAAGCCAGGAAGTGAGGCTTCACCAAGAACCAAATTAGCCAGCACCTGGAGACTTCACAGCCTCTAGAACCATGAGAACGTAAATTGTTCTTTAACCCACCCAGTCTGCAGTATTCTGGTATAGCAGCCATAGCTGACAATATCGCCCCCTACATCTCAGAACTACCAGTTATCCATCAAATCCTCTTCCCCAACAATTACAGCTTGCTCACAAAGTTATCCTATCTTCAAGACCACAGAGATCTCTAATCTGCACTGACAAGACCACCTTACATTACATTTTGGTATCATTTTATAGTCATTAACCCATTTAAACATGATGTTTACCCATCAGACTTTGGAGAAAACCTTTTTACAAACAAATGGCATGGGAAAAACAGTGGAAAGAGCACAGGATAGGCCTTCAGTACACCTCAGTCCTAGCCCCAGACCTGATAACATCAGGTCTCATAAGTATCTGTCAGCACTGGAAAATGGGAGGGATAAGCATTTCACCAAATGTTCTTTGCAGAATACTAGTTCCCTAGAGTCCTCATGAGAAAAGGGAGATTTGGTCAAATAGATCTGGAAAATGGTGACAATGAATTTTCAAGTCTCTAAGTTCTGGTATAAAGAAAAACATGTTTCACCCTGGCTGGTGTGGCTCAGTGGACTGAGCACCTGCCTGCAAATCAAAGGGTCACCCATTCAATTCCCAGTCAGTGCACATGTCTGGATTATGGGCCAGGTCCCCAGTAGGGGGCACACAAGAGGCAACCACACACTAATATTTCTCTCCCTCTCTTTTTCCTTCCCTTCCCCTCTCTCTAAAAATAAATGAATAAAATCTTTAAAAAAAAAAGAAAAAGAAAAACATGCTTCCTTATTTATTCCAGCCTCATTAAACTTAACCGAACTATATAGCAGCACAGACTATGGAGTCAAAGTTCCTAGGTTTGAGTTCTAGCTCTACAATTAAATGGCGGGTGACCCTCAGCAACTTGGCTGATCTCCCCATGCCTTCGCTTTCCCATCTGAAAATATGAATCACAACATCATTCTCAAACTGTTGTGCTGAATAAGAAATGTATATACATAAAACATTAGAAAGTATACAGCACATACTATGGTAGTGTAAGTGTTAGCTAGCACACTTAACTATGGATCACTCTTTGGTGCAAAACACCACAGATCCAGTATTCTAAAGAACATACAAGAAACAAGTTGGATGGGCTCTACAGACTCCAACTAACATGATGCTATGTTAATGTTACAACCAAACTTACTTAAATGTTCTTTTGCCTGACACAAATTATTAATTACCTTAGCTATAGGGCTCTGTGCCAGGCTTCCAGAAAAGCCAAAGAAATACATTCAAATGACCTCCAACTTTGGACTAAACAGTACAGACTACACAGTTGTACTTAAATCCTTATCATACTACTAGAGGCAGCACAGTGTTCCCATGTTAAACCTCGAGCTTGTTTTCTAAGACCTAGTCCTAAGAGAGTCCTAAGACCTAGTCCTCTTTCTGATATTTACCTAAAATGCTATCATGAAGTAGGCATGACAAAGTCCCTGAGCAAACAACAACCTATGCTAGGAAGAGTCAGCCTGTCTCCTGCAGAGTATGGCAGTCCTAAACCTCCAGTGATTTAACTACCGCAAAAATAACACCAAAGACTGACAGAGACAGGGAAAATATAGTGATAAACAAGGAAGATAGCCTTGGCACTCAGAAGTGCCACAAAATATGATTGTACCTCTCCCACTAATCCATGGGCATTATTCATTAATAAGACATGTGGTATTTCCCAGCAGAAACAGATAGTATTGACATTGCCACCTAAAAAGCATTCTTATTTTGATGACTACTAGAAACACTAAGATTTAAGAAAAAAGCTCAAGAAAAAACTATTATTAAGAGTTCAGGCCAGGAAGGAGGCATAGGTAGAAATGCTTCACTTCCTCGCACAACCAAAAGAAAGATAACAACTAATGTAAAAACACAAGACAACCAACCCTGGCTGGTGTGTCTCTGTGGATTAAGTGCCAGCCTGCGAACCAAAGGGTCATCTGTTCAATTCCCAGTCAGGGTACATGCCTGAGTTGTGGGCCAGGTCCCCAGTTGGGGGCGTGTGAAAGGCATCCACACGCTGATGTTTCTCTCCTTCTCTTTCTCCCTTCCTTCCCCTCTCCCTCAAAATAAGTTTTTTAAAAAACTTTAAAAACAAAAGTAAAATTAAAAAAAAAAAGATAGACCAGCAGAACTGCCAAAAAATCAAACTGCATTGAAGTCTGACAACCAAGGAGTTAAAGAAACATTCATCCAGACTGGTAGGAGGGACCAAGACAGGGCCAGAGAGGATGCAGCGCAGGACAAGGCAAGGCAGAGGATCAGGTGGGTGAGACAGGGGCTGACTATCGTGACAGCCCCACATTAGCATGCAGATAAGCCAGGAAGAATAACTGGGGAGCAAGACAGACTGTGAAACCTAGGGTTTCAGAGCGGGAAAACTAAGACTCAAAACCTCTGGCTGTAAAATCTGTAGGGATGGAGGTTATGGCTGTGGAAGAAACTCCCACTCTCACAGGAGAGTCTGTTGGGGAGACCCACTGGGCCCTAGAACACACACAAACCCACCCACCCAGGAATTAGCACCTGAAAGGGCACAATCCACTTGTGGGAAGCAAGGAAAGTGACAGAAAGTGGGGCAAGAGCCAAGCAAGTGGCATTGTTTCCTCTCTGACCCCTCCCCCACAGACAGCACCACAATGCAGCCAAGTGGGTTGCCCCACCCTGGTGAATACCTAAGTCTCCACTCCTTCCAACATTAATAGGTATGCTGAGACAAAGAAATATGGCCCAAATGAAAGAACAGATCACCAGAAAAAGAACTAAGCAAAAAAAAGATAGACAACCTATCTGATGCAAAGTTCAAAACACTGGTAATCAGGATGCTCACAGAAATGACTTGAGCTTAATGGCAAAATGAAGGAAGAAATGAAGCCTTATACAAAGTGAAATAAAGGAAAATATTCCTTTATTCACTGTTGGTTCAGGGAACCAACAGTGAAGAGAAGGAAACCGGGACTCATATCAATGATTAGAATAAAAGGAAGAAATAAACATCGAACTGTAACAGAATGAAGAAACAAGAATTGAGAAAATGAAGAGAGGCTTAGGAACCTCCAGGACAACCTTAAATGTTCCAACATCCAAATCACAGGGGTGCCAGATGGAGAAGAGGAAGAGCAAGAAACTGAACACTTATATGAACAAATAATGAAGGAAAACTCCCCCAATCTGGCAAAGGAAATAGACTTCCAGAAGTCCAGGAAGCTCAGAGAGTCCCAAAGAAGTTGGACCCAAGGAGGAACACACCAAGGTACATCATAATTACATCACCCAAGATGAAAGATAAGGAGAGAATCTTAAAAGCAGCAAGAGAAAAGAAGACAAAGGAGTCCTCTTAAAGGAAACCTTCCCTGTAAGGTTTCTTTTGAGAAATCAGCTGATAGTCTTATGGGAACTACAAAGCAGTCTTATGGGAACTACAAAGGAGTTCCCATAAGACTATCAGCTGATTTCTCAAAAGAAACCTTACAGGGAAGAAAAGGCTGGAAAGAAGTATTCCAAGTCACAAAAGGCAAGGACCTACATCCAAGATTACTCTATGCAGCAAAGCTATCACTTAGAATGGAAGCGCAGATGAAGTGCTTCCCAGATAAGGTCAAATTAAAGGAGTTCATCATCACCAAGCCCTTGTTATATGAAATGTTAAAGGGACTTATCTAAGAAATAGAAAAAGATCAAGAACTATGAACAGTAAAATGACAACAAGCTCACAACTATCAACAACTGAACCTAAAAAACAAAAACTAAGCAAACTACAACAGGAAAAGAATCACAGAAATGGAGATCACATAGAGGGTTATCATTGGGGAGGAGGAGGGGGAGAATGGGGAAAGGTTCAGGGAATAAGAAGCATAAATGGTAGGTACAAAATAGACAGGGGGAGGTTAAGAATAGTATAGGAAATGTAAAGCCAAAGAACTTGTATGTACAACCCATGGACATGAACTAAGGGGGGGGGGGGGGGGGGGGAAGGCTGAAAACAGGGGTTGTGCAAAGAGAAGGGGATAAAGGGGAGAAAAAAAATGGGACAACTGTAATGGCATAATCAATAAAATACACTTTAAAATATTTTTTTAAAAAGAAAAATCTATTAGTTGTCATCCATTCTCTAGATTTTAACTGCACAGTGACCTACTAGAAATATAAGTATACAAAGACAACCAAGATGCAAACAAAAAAGTCATTATGCAGTGCTTCCTGGAATGGTTTATAGTCAGACTTAGGACTAAGAATTTTGAAGTCTTGAAAACACAGTACATTTTGGAAAGAAGATGAAGTCTACAATCTATCCTACCTTCACACGGGCTCTGCCAACCTGAACTCAAAGCCTAGCTCTGCCGATGACAGGCTATATCACCTTAGGCAAGTTGTTCAGCTTCCCGGTCCTGTCCCTTTGGTAAAATTGGGATATTGATACTTAAATTACAGGGAAATTCTAGGATTACTCTAATTTATTTTTTAAGAAAGAAAAGGAAGGTGGTATATGTGTCAGTAGGCTCAGCAATTAAAGAAAAATAAAAAAAAAAGTTTTGCTAAAAGGAATGATGCCAGTCACTCATGGAACCTAATATACTTTTTCTCCCACAGAAACTGAGTAAGATCCTTTTTTTCTTCCCCTTCACTGGAATTGATTCATTTGTGCTCCTGGAAAGTAAAAACTCTCCAGTTCCTTCTGACTCTGATAGCACTCCGTAGGAAGTATACCTCTATGACTAGGAATTACAGGAATGACAAATTGGGAGCTAAAACCTAAAAGTTAATTTAGCAAAAACTGAGGCCTAGCAGAGTGTTTTAAAAAAAAGATTTTATTTATTTATTTTTAGAGAGATGGGAAGGGAGAGAGAAAGAGAAGGAGAGAAACATGGATGCTCAAGACAAACACTGATTGGTTGCCTCTGGCACACCCCTAATCAGGAACTGGGCCCGCAACATGAGCCCCCACAGGGACTCAAACCAGCGACCCTCTTCGATGTGCAGGATGACCCCTTATCCACTGAGCCACACCAGTCAGGGCTCTAGCAAGGTCTTTCTCAAGGTTACCAGTCGACAGCAAAGCCTAGACCAGTCCTTTCTCCCAGTACAATGCTCTTCCCACACCTTGCCTCGGGAACGCATACACTACTTTCTCTTCTATCATTAATAAATTGACACTCTTACAGTAATATTTAATGTTTTGCCACTGAAGTCACCTCCTTAAAGGCAATTATAGTGAGCGGTAACTCAGTCTCCTAAGATTAGACTCAATATTCAGTAAGGGCCTAAACAAATTCTCCTTTTTCTGACAGATACGACAAATGAACAATTTCCAATTCTTGGGTCTCATACCTAGAAGCACCTTCCATACCAAGGCACGGTACATGGATGGGAGAGGGAATCTTTGACTAAAAGTACAAAGTTTCTCAATATCTAGAAGGAAAAAAAAACAATAGTTAGAAGCTTTTCTTGTTGGTCACAATAAATAAAAGTGTATTTCACTGTTCACAACTTAAAGTATAATAAGACATTTACTTCTTCAGAGCATGCCTACCAAACAGTCAGTAAATCTAAGAAAGGCAATACTGGTCTGATTTCTAGCCCATGGTTCCACCAAATAGCTTTTTAAAAATAAAGAGTTAGTGTTTCACAGCATAGGAGATGCATTTTGCCTAAAATTACTGCTAATATTATTGGAAATTACATTTCCAATAATATTAGCAATAGATACTACTTATATAATTTATGGCATTTCATTTAATCCACCTTGCCAGCTTGTTGGCTAGTTATTGTTTTAAAGATGAAGAAACTAGCCCTGGCTGGCGTAGCTCAGTGGATTGATCACAGGTTGGTAACCGAAGTATCCCAGGTTCGATTCCCAGCCAGGGTACATGCCTGGGTTGCAGGCCATAACCCCCCAGCAACCACACACTGAAGTTTCTCTCTCTCTCTCTCTCTCTCTCTCTCTCTCTCTCTCTCTCTCTATCTCCCTCCCTTCCCTCTCTAAAAATAAATAAATAAAGTTAATAAATAAATAAATAAATAAATAATAATAAAAAAAAGATGAAGAAACTGAAGCTCAAAGCAGGTAAGTGACTTGACTGAGTTAACACAGCAGGTGAGTGGTGGACTCAGTCCTCAAATCCCACCTTTTCTCATAAAGTACACTCAGCTGTCCTGGACCTAAATTTCCCTACTTGTTAAATGAGAATAATACTGGGCATACTTAAAGGACAGACTGTCTAGCGAGGATCAAAGATCAGGTAAGAAATGTTTTTGAAATTTTAAAAGCATTATATGCATATAAAGTACTATTTTTAACTGTGGTTCAATGTATTTTACTCCAGTCAACCACAGAAGAGACCTTATTATTACTGGCTTGGAAGAAACTAAAATGTATAAATTTCAGTCTCAGTATTTCCATACAAGAAAATCATGGGAAGCGTTGTTGTATATTTCCCCAGAAGCAATGACAACACCTCTGAAAATTGAGAAAAGAAAACATAGGCCTAATAGGAGAGAAAAATATTAGTGACTTTTTAAGAGGACTTTCAAAAACATCTGGCCCTCAGTGAAATATACACTTGAAAAATCCATAACTTCTCCCAAAATATATATACCATTCTGCTGTCTCCCTATCACTAAAAAATACAGCAGGTAACAAATATCTCTGGATGTCTCTTAAGGTAACATTTATTTCAGGACATTTGGGATGACTGACAACCAGTAGGGTTAGTTTAACTCATAAAACTCACCCAAACGGTCATCTTTTAGGAGAATTTCTAATGATTTCTTTTCTTCAACTCCACGAAACCCCACTTTTTCATAATATACTGAACGGAAGTTTCTCTGAGAATCCTCAGTCATGTTTCATTCTTGAAGAAGAGAGACAAAAAGGAGAAAGGAAAAAAGTGAGTTTAGAAACAATGAAGAATAAAAAATTTTCAATGATTTTCTCCAACTTTTCAGTGAACCTGATATTATAATAAACTGTCTGCCCTTGTATAGAACACAGTATTAAATCTTTCCTTTTACACAACTCCTACACCACCTCACTTGTGCACCTTGGCCAAGAGCCAAGACATAAAACCAAATTCCTCTGAGCGGCTAAAATAGATAGCACAAGGTTTGTGGACTAGGGTACCTACTTTACTCAGGAGAGCACCTAGCTGAAATCCATGTTCAAACAATGAGTGAAACAGGAAGATAAGACAAGATGTCATGCTAAAGGTGTTACCAAACAGTATACACTATGGCTCTGTTTGTTTTATAAATGCTATGCATTAAAAAAATTAGACTATATTCTGAAATGTTAACAATGGTTATCTTTAGGTAGTAGGATTCCAGATAATTTTAAATTTTACTTTGCTTGGCTGTGTTTTCTAAAAAGGGCATTTTGTAAAATGAAAAATCAAAAAGCCACAAGTTCCTCACTTAGTTTTCCTTTAAACACAATTCCACTAAATGTAATTATTAAAATTCAAAACCCAAAAAGTTTAACAGCATTAAATTATAAACCACAAGAGAGGCAGGAATGTAGCTGGTGGACAGTGATGCCACAAAGTTGGAGACAGAACAACTTAAAATGTCATCAAAACTCAGAAACTTCAGGGGTGTTACATTCTTTCACAATAACCTTCACATGATTAAAAGCAAGTCATTAGGAAAAGGTCAAATTAAGTTTTAAGAATATAATGGATGTAATGCATTTCCGAAAAAAAGTATGCACTGCCCCACCCAAATGCTTCACGTGTCAGTGCAAAAAAAGAATATGATCCTCAGGTTTTAGAAATCTAACATATCCTCAGTGATCTCAGGAGGGTCCAGTTCTAAACAGCCAAGGTCTTCCTTATAGAAACAATACGCTGTGAGCCAATTCAGCCACAGGAAAGATTGGGATTCGCTTAAAATGAAGAAATCTAAAAGGTCCTGAGCTTTGGGGACCAAATTGTTTTTTAAGGACAAAATTCCAAAACATTAAAATCCTAAATGAATATGGAGGGTTATTTCAAAGAAGCATCCAAACAGCTGCACGGCGATGCGGTGTCTGTTGTCTAAGGAAACCAGTCTCACATTGCACAACGACAAACGCGTCCTCTTGGAGGAAGTGTTGTAAATTACATTCCTACCCCTGACCATACACCTGACCCTGACGGAGAAGTAAACACAGCCTGCTCTAAGACCCCAGGTCCCATCTCTTGTTATGCTTCACCTCCAGTAATGGAAACCCGGGTAGAGACTAAGTGGTCCCGGGGAAACCGCAGAAATCAGACCAGAGGCGCTGACCGGTGGGCGGGCAGGCGGGCGACGCGAGGGCCAGCCGGGGGGTCAAGGGCGCCACCGGTGGCCGAGCCAGGAGGAGGGAAACGACGGGGCCGCAACGCCCGGGGCAGCCCGCCTAACAAAATGCGCCCGTTCACCAGGGTAACGTCAGCGGACGTGACGTTAACTCAGTCTGCGGCGAGTGCGCGTGCGCGGAGAGCTTGCGCAGAAGCTCCACCCACACCGTGGGGGCACCGGCGCGGAGTCCCGCATTCGTAAATGAACACTGGGTAGCTGGCGATCCGCGCCCAGGTCCCCGGTCCACACGCTCCACCGAGCCACTCCTAGCCAGGGAATCCTCGCGCTCCCAGCGGTGCGTGCCTGGGATGTTCTCCTTTCCCTTGCCTTGGAGGTCCCTACCTAGAGGCGACCTGCGGACACCAGCAGGGTATTCCTCGAGATTTCTGTTGTGGAGGATTCCTATTTCGTTTTGTTTTGATTTGATTTAATTTATATTTCCTTTTCTTATTTTTCTGGTATGCGGAAATAAGTGAAGACCAACCAAATGCAAAGGCAATTTATTCGGAGCTTGCTGTAGAGAGAGTCAGCCTCCCATCACTTACATTTTGGCAGAGACTTAAAGGCAGGCAGAGGAATGGGAAAGGTTGATAGTGGAAAGACGGGGAGGCATTAAGTGTGCCCTCAATGGAGGCTGTTGGCACGGGGAAACTGTTGGTAGACTGATTAGAAGCGGGGCATCCGTTGTGGTCAGCTAGCCATGTTTGGCTTTCACTGGTTGGTTGTGAGTTGGAAGCAGAGACAAAAATTAGGGAAGCTGTCAGTTATTAATCAAGTCCTGGCCATTTGGGGCCAACTATCAGAAGTTACTGTTTAGCTTCCTGGGTTGTTACTAAAACTGGCAATCTGGCTAAGTCTAAAATGAGGCTGCCTTCCTAGGCTGATTATCGTAGATAAGGGGTTGTTTTCCTAGACAGGTTGCAGCTGCAGGTTCGGGGTGAGAGTTGTTTTTATATATGGTCAGATCATGGTATATTCAGCCTCTCAAGTAAACACTATAAAATTATATGAAAAGTGAAGTTTAAAAACAAGACGTACTAAATATAAGCCCCCAATTTATTAGCTTCAGCAGACAAAATTACTATTAAAATGGCTATGAAAGTTTATAAACACTTTCAATTTCTTTGCTTACTTAGTCACCGACTAGCACCAGTCCTGAAACATTCCTCCTACCAGCGCTGCCTGAGTGAGATTTTAAACCACTGAGGTTTAAGTGGAACCCGCTTGGTTCAGTGATGGGTACTGCTCCTTAAAAGCCCATATCTGTACAGAACAGACCACAGAGAGGCCAAACTCTAGAGGGAAATTTAAAAATCAACAGTACAGAAGTCAGTCCAGTTACCATGTGGGCAATACGTTTGTGGTGTGATGGCTAGACAGAACTTCAAAGAAGCAGGTGGTGGTCAATAGCAAACGTTTTGCTCCTCCCAACCCCCCCACCATCACCATCTTCAGTACCTTCAGCACTAGGGTACTAAGCCTTGCTTAGGCTATGTTTCTTCACAGGTATCAGTGGCATTCTTCTTCAAGTTACAGCTTTCAAGAATTCCATTTACACACTTAATCTAAACCTTGGATGAGTCAGAAACTTTTACAATCTCCTTTTCCTTATCTTTAAAATAGAGCTAATAGTGGTGACACCATTACAGAGGTATTGGAAAGATTAAATGGGAAGGTGTGTAAAGTGCTTGGCACAGTGCCAACCACATGGCACAGTGAGGATATCTTTGCATTGGCTGCTATTAGCTAAATGGTGACAGAATATGGTTGACTTTAATTGTCATTCTCTGTGCTTCCCCCCTGTTTTAATTGGATGTATTGGGGTGGCATTAGTTAATAAAAATCATATAGGTTTCAGGTATACAATCATATAACACACTATCTGTATGTGGTATTGTGTGTTCACCACCCCAAGTCAAGTCTCCCTCAGTCACCTTTTATCCCCCTTTCACTCCTCTCCCTCTGGTAATCACCGTACTGTTGTCTGTGTCTATGAGTTTTGCCTTTTTCTTAATCCCTTGACCTTTTTCACCCAGTCCCTGAACTCTATACCTCCCCTCTGACAGCTGTCAGTCTGTTCCCTGTATCTATAAGTCTGTTTCCATTTTATTTGTTAGTTTATCTTGTTCACTTAGATTCCACATATGAGCAAAATCATTCGATACATGTCTTTCTCTGACTGGCTTATTTACTTAGCATAATACTATCCAGGTCTATCCATACTGTTACAAAAGGTAAGATTTCCTTTTTTATGGCCAGGTAGTCTGTGCATTTTGATGAGCTGATAAACAGAGTATTTGGAAGCTTCTATAGGATATAAGTCTCTTGGAGATTAACACTGCAGCCAGAGTAGCCCTTTAAAAACATCCCTCCTCTACTCCAAATGCTGCAATGGTTCTCCATTTCACTAAGTAAAAACCAAAGTCTTCCTGTTAGCCACCTCCTTTTACCTCGACCTCATCTAGTACTAGGGACGCTCCTGCCTTAGGACCCTCTCATAGTTGTCCCCTCTGCATGAAGTGTGTTTCCCCAGAGAGCCACCTGGCCTATTCCCTCACCTCAAATTTTGTCCAATGTTTCCCTGCAAAGGCCTATTCTAACCACCCTCCCTAGAACTGCAAACTTGTTACCTGAATCCCAACTTCCCCCACCCCCTACTCAGCTCTGCTTTTCCTGTCTTCCACAGCACTTATCTCCTAACACACTCCATAATTTACTTATTTATTTTTGTTTTTATTGGGTCTATCCTCCCACCAGGATGTCAGTTCCACATTGTCAGGAATCTTTGCTTTGCTAACTGGCAAACCCGAGTTCATGGAACAGCGGCTGGCACATAGTAAGTGCCTGATACAGACTTGCTGAATGAGCGGAAAGAAACCCCACGGTGAAGGCGCAGCCATTCTTTCCACCTTAACATGGCCTGTTTGGGCTGTGGGCTCTTTAGAAGGCATTATTAGTCATTAGACTCCCAGCACAACACAGAACACAGAGTGAAGTAGGCGGCTGTGGTATTGAAATTTATAATAAATATATATTTGTTTTTAATCCCTGTTTCTGGCTCAGAACTCCTAAAACTCTTGGAATTTCCTAAGTGATGAGAGGGATGAAGATGACTTCTGGACCAAACCTAAAGATGGGGCTGGTTGCCTGAAGAACCAGCCATGTGATTAAGGGGCTGGAACTGTCAGTCCCACCTACCTGACCTCTGGGGCAAGGAGAGGAGCTGGAGGTGGAATCAGCCATGCCTATGTAATGGAGTCTCCATAAAAACACAAAAAGGAGGGGGTTCAGCGAGCTTCCGGTTGGTGAACACATGGAGGTGCTGGGTGAGTGGCACCCTCAGAGGACATGGGGGCTCCACACCCTTCCTCTGTATCTTACTATAGGCATCTCTTCCACCTGGCTGTTCCTGAGTTATATCGGTTAATGATGTATCAGCAAGTGCATCAGAAATCTAGTAAGTGAAATAGTTTCTCTGAGTTCTGTGAGCCACTCTAGCAAATTAATCAAACACAAGGAGGAGGTCATCAGAACTGCATTTCAGGCAGAGGGGACAACTATGAGAAGGTCCTAAGGCAGGAGTTCCCTAGTACTAGATGAGGTCGAGCTAAAAGGAGGTGGCTAACAGGAAAACTTTGGTTTTTACTTAATGAAATGGAGAACCATTGCAGCATTTGGAGTAGAGGAGGGACATTTTTAAAGGGCTACTCTGGCTGCAGTGTTAAGAATCTCCAAGAGATTTATCTCCTATAGAAGCTTCCAAATACTTTGTTTATCAGCTCATCAAAAAGCACAGACTACTTGGCCATAAAGAATTATAGTGGGTTGGAAGCCCAGGTGACAACCTGGACTTGCAATTGGAGTCTGAAGTCGGGGTCAGGGAGCCATGTTGTAAGACAGAGCCCTTAGTATGTGGAATCTGATGCTCCCTCTGGTAGATAGTGCCAGAGTGAGTTAAAGTGTAGGACACTAAACTGAGTTGTTTGGTGGTGTGGGGAAACACCACACCCAGCACACATGAACACGTCAGAATTGACTGACATAATCTTAGCAGGCAATAAAATTTTCATGAAATTTCATTGAAATAAGAATTTTAAAAGTCATAGTGTGCCGAACCCAGGTTCAACTGCCTTCAGCTTCAAAGGCCAGTACTCGAGAGACAGGGGCTGATGTAAGGAAAGAAGGTTTGTTCAAGTGCCGGCAGTTTGAGAAGATGGGGGACTCTCGTCCCAAAGATCATCTTAACATCTCAATGCAGGCAGAGGTTTTAATAAGGAGGGAGTAGGAAGCAGAACAGAGATCAAGGGGAGGGTGTTGAAAATTTTTCTACATGCAGACAAGCACAGTGTATTCTGATAAGGACCTTAAAGCTGGCCAAGTGGTGGTCTGGTGTGCATCATCCTGGTTCTCGTCATCCTTGTTTTACCCCATCCTAGTCTTACAGTTGAAGGTCAGCAAATCTCCCAGAGTTGGAATGCCTGAGGGTCAGAGTCTGCATCCTTTAAAGTTAGTTCCAAGAATTCTTATACTAATGTGCTGTTTATCTACAAGTTATGTATCAGTCAGAATCAGCACCTACAGAAACAATGTCAAAAGAATGGTGGGGCGGGTTACAACAGGCGTACTTCCTGTGAATGTATACTTTGCTCTCCACCTGGGGCTCACATCATTCCTTACTGCCTTGTGATCTGACTGCCCTCTGGTGGTTAACTGTTCTTACTAAATTTGGAAATAATTGTACTGCTAGTCAAACAATCAAATCTCAAGGTCCAGAGGGCTTTAGGTTGACCATCCCATTAAATGAGGTGCAGAGGCCTAGAATTCATTATATGAAACTGAGTAATATGTTTAGGAATGGTATCACATCTTTCAACTACTAAAATCACTTATGATAGAATAGCGATTATCAAATGTTAACCTCAACCTCTCAGCCCCTCTTCTTTTAAAAGATAAGGAAATGCAGGCTCAGCAGGTCTGAATTAGACTAATCAAATGGGCAAATATTAGCCATGGGACTCCGGAGGCTCCCTTTGTCCAACCAGGAAGCCTTCCTTAGTGTCACAGCAGTTCCCCACTTTAACTCA